AACCCACGGCGGGAGCGCTACTGCACTCCCAGCGCTGCACTCTCCTGAGTGCGCCACGGGCTCGGCCCTCAGCAACACTTTTTGAAAAAACATCTTTTCTCTACTGATAAAGATGCCTTTGTATCTTTGTCAGAATTAGTTGTTCACATCACATATGTTTGAGTTTATTTCTAGACTTTCTATTCTGTTCCATTGATCTATTTGTCTATCTTTATATCAATTCCAGGGCTTTATACTATGTCTTGAAACGAGATAGTATTTATTAGCCCTAAACTTTTCTGGGGGGTCAGCTGGACCATATAGGGATCCAAACTCTTGACCTTGGTGTTATCAGCACCGTACCCTACTGAGTGAGCTAACCGACCAGAAGCCCAAACTTTTGTTCTTAATTTTCAAAATTGTTTTGGTGTCATATCTAAAAAGTTACATAAATCTATTCTTAGCAACTGTGCATTTCCATACAAATTTTAGAACCAGCTTGTCAATTTCTACCCCAAAAAAGCCTACTGGAATTTTGAATATAATTGTTTTGAGTATATAGATCAATTTGAGGAGATCTAAAATCTTAACAATATTGTTTTCCTATCCATGAATGAGGTATATCTCTCCATTTATTTCCAGCATGTATTATTTTACTTAAAAACCACAACAGATTATTTTTAAAAATCTTTTGGTGTGGAAAAAAAAGCTACGAGGAGGGGCTGGCTGGGAGCTCAAGGTCAAGGGTTTGGATCCCTTAAAACCCAGCTGTCCGAAAAAAAAAAAGGTAGAAGGAAATTCACCAAAAAATGCTATCTGTGGATTGCATTATGATACTGAGTTTGTAGCGTTTTTTCTTTTCTCTACTTTCCAATGTTTTTATAGTATGTTTACAAAGCTTTGGACTTTGGACTTGAAGAAGTGCTCCTACAAGCTTGTTTTTGCTCTCACCTTCGGGTTTGTGCCAACTTCTTTTCCCAATTGTCACGTTTCTCTTGGAGATCTTCCTTTTCTTTGTTCAAACACTCAACACATGATTGTAATGTTTGTGTCTCAGCAGTCATTCGCTCTATTTCCCATTTGTCCCTCTCGAGGAGCTGCTTCTGCCACTCTATCTCCCCTCTCTGTTGCTGGGATGTCTGCTGCAAATTCTCTAACTCCAGTTTCTCCTAAATCAGATAAAAGAGGACTCAAATATCCTAAAAGAGAAAGACTATATTTTACTAAGGGTACAATGGCTTGCTTTTTTTGTTACCTCTAGCACTTCAACCTGAGTCTTCTCTAACTCAGACACCTTTTGATCATGTTGTAGCTTCAAACCTTGTAGCTCGTTGTTTTCTAGTTGCAACATGTCCAGAATATTCTTTAGTTCTAACAGACAGAAACAAAATGTGTTCCATGCTATTAACTGAACTTGGAAACATTTACAAAATGAAACAGAAAACAATGCTATATTGACTAATACAAGATAATCAAAAATTTCTGTTGAGCTGAATTAATGGCACTAATTAAATTTTTACAGAAAAAACCTCTCTAAAAGTATTATTAAATATAATTCAATTTGTTAAAAACATTTTAACAAAAACATTTAACAAATCTAATTCAAAAAGCATTTACCTCCACATAAAAGAATGACCTAAGAGCATTTTTATATGAATAAAAATTAACCAAATAGGAAAAGCTTTACAGACAGATTTATATAATAATTTTTGTCCTTTGAAATAGATATTTAAATATTAACTTTTGTCTCTTATAAAAATATTTGCTCACTGTAGAAAATTTGGAAAATACAAAAAAAAAAAGCATAAGAGAAAAAATGAAAATACATAACTATCCCACCAAAGATGATCATAGTAGCATTTTGATGATCATGATTAATGATCACAATAGCATTCTGATGTATTTCCTTCCAGAAGCACACATAAACACTCACACAATTTTAAAATTGAGATTATGCTCCATATTCAATTTTTACCTATTTTTTCATTGTTCTCACGAGCATTTTTGCATGTTATTAAATGTTAAAAAATATAGCTTTAAAATTGGTCATTTGTTTCCAGATTTTGTCATTATAAATATTGCTGTGATACACATAAATGCTTGCCCTCTCTGTATCAGCAGAAATGGCCTCACTGGTTCAATCGGTGTGTATTCAAATAGGTGTGATCTGAAACACTTGGAAACTGTACTTCAATTGACAGTCTGCAATTGCTCTTCTTTTAGCACACTCTGGTCAGCAATAAATATGATTATTTTGTTCTTAAATAAACCTTATCAACTCAAATGGCAGAAAATAATATATTCCTTTTAAAATCTGCTTTTCTTTGCTTATTGGTAGTAAGGTTAAACTTTTAAAGAAGTTTATTTCATCATTTGTACTTTTTCTGTGACCTGGAATATAGACATTTCCAACCTTAAACTTTATATGGTCGTTTTTCTTTAAACTTACCAGTTTTATGTTTAGCCATCTGCCCTAAAACTAACTGAAGATTTTCTTCCTCTTTTTCAATTTCCTGCTTTATAAGTGCAAGTTGAGTTTTTTTTTCACTAATCTGGACATTCAGTTCTCCTTTCTGAAAACTCAGTTCTTCCAGAAGAGCTTTTACTTCCTGTGTTTAAAAAAAAAAAGTCACCCCCCCCCTGAAATTATGAATGGAAATTACTTAAAATCAGTTCTGCTACTGTCTTATTTCATAGACATTATAATTTAAAAACAAGCTCATTTTTGTCTCATGTCAAAAACAGCACTATATTTTGCACTAACATATTTCTGTATAATAGAAGAAAGTAACATCTTCATTTAAATGTGTATGTAACATTTACTATGTGCGAGGCAATGTGTCGTAGAGAAAAAAAGGTGACTCAGACTTGGTTCCTGCAAAGGCAGAGAATGAAGCTGGGCATGAGAAAAGGGTGGGATCCGGCTAGTGACAGAGAAAAAAGGGAATTCCCGGAGAAGAAATGGTACGAGAACAGCACAGAGGTGTGAGAATTTGGGGCATATCCAGAAAACAATATGGGGGGAGCTAAACATGATAGCCACAGCATGGATACATAATACAACACCAAATTGATGTTATAGAGGAAGTAAGATTCCAGGAACTTACATTTTCTTTGGGGGAGAACTGATGAAAATACCTCAAAATAAATCTATAGCATTGTCCTAAGACTTATGAAAACCTGGTGAAAAACATACCCTAATGTGATTACATTTCTCAGCTACTTCAGTTTCTCCCAGTCTCAGAGCTTCCTGGAGGTCAGCTTTTGCCTGGACCATGCTTTCCTGAAGTAGATGCAGCTCTTCTTTTTTATGCCCTAACTGCTTGTCCAAGACAGCCATCTCCTGCTGCTGACTTGTCACCTATATTAAAGAATAAGGAAGAATGCAAAGTTTGATAAATCCTATGCAGCCTTCACTGCTAACCTGGGGATTATTTAGTTCAGCCAAATGTTCTGAAGGAAAATCAGGAGCTAATATCCTAGCCCCAAGAATCAGGAAGGCCAGGCTGGGGGTACAAGCATAAAATGCCTAATAAAAACCTTGAGTTCACATACTTAAAAATTACTCAAATCATAGCAACAATAATAGAATAATAATGATTATCACTCAGTTATGGTTTTCAAAGAATTTTCATATCTATACCTTACTCCACAACAACCTTGACAATGGAAGTTAGGTAGGGATTTCAAAATTTAATTCACTTTTTAAATTTAAAAATTACTTAAAATTTTAAGGGAAAAAGCATATGTGTTTATAGAAAAAGCACACAAGGTAGACATGCAAAAGAAAGAAAACAGAAAATACTCATAGTTCCCTCTTTATCAGATGACCACTTTTGTACTTTGGTATTAACTAAAAATACTAACACAAGTGTTCAAAAACACATTTAACATAAATGATCTCAAAACATAGAGGATACCATGTTTTGAGACACTTCTTTTACTCAATAATATATTGAGTTGGAATTCAAATTCAAATTGGACTCTATACTTAACCACTATGATATAGCCTCACGTATTCTTTATCCTTCATTTTGTATTCTCTAATCTTTACTACAATAAAACATGTATTACTTTTATAATCATAAAACACATATAGGTTTTAAAGCAATCTGAGTTGTTTTTTTTTTGAAGGCATCTATTGTGATACCTGGCTTTTCAGCTTCTCCAGCTCAGTTCTCTTGGCCTGAAGGAGGGTCTCAGATTCTTTAAGGACCTGCAGGTGGTGATCTTCATTGTGTTCTGCTGTCTCAATGTCTTTCTGCAGTTTCTGAAGCCTACAAAGCACCAGCAGTACTAGAGAAGATCCTAAGGAGACTGAACCCCAGAGCTATTTTCCAGCACAAGTCCCTCACAGCCCAATAGTAGCCTTACTTACTCTTCCGTCAGTTTTTCCTTTTTCTTGTCTAAACACTGGAAGTCTAAGTCTTTTGCTGCTACAGCTTTGTTTATTTCTTTCAAGATTTCTTCTTGCTTGAGTTTGTGCTGCTCCAAATCCTCTGCATCAGCCTGGAGCAATCTAAAACACATCGCTTTATTGCCCCCAAGCCTCTTAGACTTAACATGCATTATTTATCATAAACCGATTATGATCCTCTTAGAACCCAACTTCTCATCCATCTCACTGTATACATCATTGGCTTAGGGATTCCACATACCTTAGCTGCTGATCAGCTTTGACAAGGTTAATAGCAGTTTCCTGAGCTCTCCTTTCTAACTCCTCAGCATCTGACTCAGTTTGCAATAAATTTCTCTTGGCATCAGTGAACTTTTCAACAGCATTTTTTGTCTAGAAGAGAAATTGTCATTAAAAGCAACTCAGTTACAATACTCACTAACAGCTATTGGCACTGAAATTGGTACAACTCTTTTGGAAAATAAGAAGACAATAAAGAAAGACATAAAATGTCATTTTACTTTGTCCAATTCTCAGAAAATAATTCAGAAGCAAAGAATGACTACATAAAAATGCTCATTGTATATTTAAATAATATAAATCTTGACAAATAATAGATTAATTGATAATGCATTAACACAATGGAATACTGTGTAGCCTTTAAAATGGTAAGATGACAATGTAGCAACATGGAAGAATGTTAATGATATTATGTTGGCTGAAAAAAAGTAAAAATGGATAAGCACTGTAGAGCAGCTATGTAAAACTATATATCAACGAAGATAGAAAGGCTATGCAAAAATAAACACAGTCATTCGGAGGTGGTGAAACTTCCTTCGAATAACTATGTAAGTAGTCTTTATTTAAAAATAATCTGTAATATAATTGTTTTTTGTATTAAAACTATCTAACCAATTAAGTGGCAATGAAGTGATTTTGCCAAGATCCCCTCCTCATAGAGATTACTGCAGTACTCTAGATATTATCAAGTTAAGTAAAAACTCATTAATCTGATAATTTAATTATGGCTGAGAAATATAAATAGTAAGTACTTTTAAAATATTTAAAAATCTTTTTATATAAGATTTGGCAAAAACACTTGACTTTTTTTTTTTTTTTAATCAACTTGGTTTCTTTTTCTGCCTAAAAAAAGAGGCTTAAAGCAATGTCAAAGAAGATCAAAAAATAGAGTTTGGTTTGCATTTAGTTGAGCAGTAACTTCAGCCAAAAAACTGAAGTTTTGCTATTATACTAAAGTCAGATATGTTATAAAATCTGTATGTTATAAAGTCTGTATGTTAAATTTGACTACTAAATATCCAAAGTGGATGCGAAAGGGTTGGCAAGCTCCCAAAGAGCTACATATTTAACCATACTTCTTTCCATTTTAGATAGTTTCAGTTTCATCAGGAAAGCACTGGACAAAATTCACTATGCATTCCAGAAGACCATGTTTCTAAGTAGTTTTTGTCCCCTATGTCAGGTTTTAACATGTCTGGCACATTCCTTATAAAACACAGCTACTCCCTCTCTCTCCTTGTCCTTCTTACACCAAGCTGCCTTCCTGAGTCGTTTTGGGAGGATGAAGGAGAAAAGGCTTATCAGCCTTGGTCCACTTACTACCTCTGCCTACTAACCAGTTTCATCAATTTTCTGTAATATACCAGTGATAATTTTTTCTCTAGTTCTACTCACACCTATTTTTTCTCACAGTAATCTAACACGTTAAACAGAAGGAACTGCTCATCTGAAAAGAGATGAGGACTTTTTCCATTCTTATTAAAGCTATTACAGAATTTCTTGAATAATTCAAAACTCATTCATTTTAGCTCCTGGGTAATTGATTTCTATTAACTTAAATAGATCCATGTTGAAATAACAATATAAAAAAAGAAGTTCCTGAGGTGTTCATGCCTAAGAGACTTTTTTCATCCTGGAATTCTCACCTAACTGAAAAAGCTCTTAGAGAGGCAAAACTTTAGCTGTGTGACTCTGGGTCAGTTATAAGCATCTCTGAGCTACATCTGAAAACTGAGCTAACACCATCTTACAGGACTGTTAGGAAGGTTAAATGAAGTAGTATTTATAAAACGGTCAGGGCTGGCTAGTTAGCTCAGTTGGTTAGAGCATGGTGTTATAAAACAGTCAATGTGTAGCCATAGTAGGGTCTCAATAAATAGTAGCTCCTTTTTCTCCCCAACTTCCTTCTGTGTTATAGTCTAAAGAATATTAACTCACCCTGTACCAGCCAGGAAAAAAAAAAAGATTACGATCTCAGACCAAAAAATATTTTATATCATTATCAACTTGGAGAAAAATGTGAGACTTGTGAGGTCAGTTGTAGCTTAATAAGAATATAAGCTTGACCTATTTAAAAAACACAGATATCAGGGCCCAAATAATAAAAAAAAGCACATATACAGGATAAGGAAGTGGGGTGTGTTGGGAACTAAACAACTTCAGGAGTTTTAAATATGGGATTTCATCTCATTCATACTGAACAGCCTACATATTCTTAGCCTGAATTTACAGATGAGGAAAGCAAAGCTTGGAGACTTAAGTGACTTGCCCAAATTCTCACAGTTCTTTAAATAGCAGTCCAGCCTGGAACCTGGATGTCTGACTTGGACCACTATGGTCTTTATCACATATTCTCTTTCTAATCCTTCATGCAGATGACAGTAAGCCGTCTCACTCAAACTGAGCTCACACCCAAAACCACAATAGTACATACTTTCTCTTTTGTGCATGAAAGTTCATTCTCAGCCTCTGCCAGGAGTCGGTCAGCTTCCCTGAGCTCTGAGCGGCGTTTCAGAAGGGTCTTCTCAATGCACTCAATCTCATCTATGATATCTTCATGGTGTTTGAATGATTTTTCTATTTCTAGTTCAGTCATAAGACTCTCAACATTTCCATCAAGGAAGTCCCTAAAAAAAACCCATATATATATATATACACATTAAGAGATTTTAAAATGTAGACAATTGTAGTCTAACTACTTAAAAGAAGTACAATTATTTTCAAATTTTATACGAGAAGGGATAAGAGAGGCAGTTACATCTAATTATGTTCATGGTCTATGTTTACCTTTTTATTAAATATGGTGGTATTACTGGCAATAAATGCATAATATGTAAAATGCATGATGGACTTGTTTGTCCTTTTAAATATAACAAAGATTATCATGTTGTCAGCAGTTGGGAAAAACAATGTTGATACCTCTATTCTTCTGAGGTATAAAAATAAAACAAACCACTATCACAAAAATCATCCATTCCCTCAAAATTATTCTTCAAGGCCCAGTTCACAGGCTGCTCTGAAGACTACCTGACTTTGTGATTTATTCTGTTTTGCTAGAGTAAAACTATGGTGACAATATTTCGCAAACCAAAAAGTATGACATACGATTCAATAACTCAAAGCTAACATGTCAAAATTATTTGAAAAGGGTTCTATCCATGAATGCATGGCAGAAAAATATGAAAATAAATATAACATGTTAACAGATTATTTCTCTCTAAATGAAGGCATACAGATAATTTTTACTTTCTTTCCTGAACATTTTTCTGTTATACAAATTTCCTTGATCATTTATTACACTTTTATAACTAGGGAAAGAAGTGATTATCCTACTGCTCCCTATCATCCCCCTCAAAAAACCTCATACTATAAAACCTCCCCCCCAATATACATACCCACAAAAATAGATATATCCACCCCCGCAACCCTCAAACATCTAGTTCCAATCTTCTTCTGGGTGTAACCCTTGCTTTCCACTGCCAAGTCTACTGGTCAGTCACGGGTCTGCTCCTAGATGGTAGCAACCATGTCTCACTTACCTCTGTGTTCTCCACAGGCCTCCCTCCCACCCTGAGGCCTGGGCCAGTCTGGATTAAATGACAAAAAATGGAGAACTGTCATAATTCATGGGCTACTGCAGAAGATGGGCTTGCAAATAACTGACCAAATCAACAGATGCTGCATTTATTAACTGACCACGGCAGATGCTGGGACATGGAGATGTAGGTCCAGCTACTGCCCTCAAGGAGCTCCTGGGCCCCTCACAACATTTTATGAACAGTGCTACCTTGAAATTGTGGGTGCCTAAGAACAGAAAGGCTTGTGTAAGAGGAGATTCCTAACCTTGTTTTAAAAGACAGAGTCAGAGAAGACATTTCAGGTAAAGGACAGCACATGCAGAAGGAAGGAGAAAACATGGTGCTTGGGGACACTACAGGAAAGTAAGTGGGCCAGACCAAATACTGTGTGTGGGAGAGAAGAATAAACAAGACAAGCAAGATTCAAATCATGGAGGGTGGTGTATATTCTAAAGGGACTGAGAGTCATGTGACAGAGTGGCATAGTCAGATCTGCAGCGTGTCAAGAAGAGTGGAGACAAAAAGACAAGATATGGAAGACCAGTGTAGAAGCTATCAAAATGACCTAGGATGAGACTGATTAAAGGCCAGAGCAGCAGAGATGAGAGAAAGGGACCAGTCTGAGACTCTTTGAATACAGAGTCAGCAGGACTTGGAGACCAACTGGATGCTGGGGGAGTGAGGGAAACGGAGGGGTTGAGAACCCCTGCCAGGTTTCAGCTAGGGTAACTGGAGAGGGGGAATGGTTGCACCACTCTCCAAGAGGAACTACAAGAAGAGCTGATTTCGATTATCAGCCAAGAGAACTTAGACCTGCACTGTCCAATATGGTACTCACCACGTAGCAATTAAATTAATTAAAATTAAATTAAATTCTGTTTCTCAGTTCCGTTAGCCACATGTGGCTGACTAGTGGTTACTGTTTTGGAGAGTAGAAATCTACAGCATTTCCAAGATCACAGAGTTCTATTGGATAGTGTTAATTTAGGTTATCTTAATGAACTAATATTATATTAATCTGAACTATAAAAATATAATGGCTAATAATACTTTTGCTGTTGATGTTTCCGGATGGTTCTATGTAATTCTTCTACTTCATGCTCTAAGTCCTTCTTCTCTTGCAAAAGACAATCAATATCATGATGCAGTTCTTCCATTTCTTGCTCAGACTGCCGCTTGGATGCTTTCCTCCACCGTTCTTCCCGTCTCTTTGATTTTAAATGCTGCATTATGTCTTCTAATCTAGAAACTTCATTCTCCTGAACAAAGAAGACAATTGCATTTCTGAAATACCACAGCATGTTTCCCCTCTTTCCTGCCAAAAGCTTAAATTAACTGTTTTTATAGTGGTATCTATGACCTGAAAAATGGTGGTAGACACTAAGACTTCAGTAAGAAAAGAAAAATTAAGTCAAGCCAATTTTTTGTTTTACATGCCATAGATGAAACTGATGGACTAAAAGAAGTTTTAACTTTTCCATCAGTCTAACTATGGTTGAGAAACATTCACCAAACCTCCTGTGGATAACCTCTGCCTCCAAAGAGTTCAGAGTCTAGCACAAGAAACATACAGAGTTCTCTCCCTCCTCTGGACACACAGGAGGGGAGTTGTCTGAGAAGGCTGCCCAGAGGAAGAGGTGTTTTGCCTGGGTTTTGAATAATGAATGAAAGGTGAAAGATCTAGGCTGAAGAAATAACATGGACAAATGCAGGGAGGTATAAAAGTGCCCCTAGGAAACTATATGAACAGTACTTTCAGAGAATAAAAGAACCAGTTTAAGGGTTTAGCAATTAATGCTAAACAGACAGAATTGCTACATATTATAATGTGCACTGAAAAACTGCAAGAGAATGTGAATGACTACCATTGTCAACCATGTAAATGCATGCAAACCTTCTGAAATTAGTCTGATCTATTAAAATGAGACTGGTGGCTTGGTACCTGGGTGTCCTAGTCCCTTATCTTCCCCTCAATCTGCTCAGAAGGGAAGGTAAAAAACCAAACGCTCCAGGTGTTCTGAGTTTGAAGAAGGAGCTCAGATTGCATTTTATTTCTTTAGAACTAAAAAGTTAGAAGGTAATCTAGTGATTAGGAAGTAATCATTTCTTGGAATCTAGCGTATGAAAAGATTATGAAATACAGTAAGAATTTACACACAATCAGCTATAGTACCTACAAATAAAGAAATACTGTCAGCCATTCAAATACTGTCTAAAAACATCTGTAAAACCATAGGGAAATGCTTGTAACATTAAGTGGAAAAAACAATATAAAACTGTATATACAATAAGATAAGAACTATGAAAATAAAAAATAATCAATAAATCCCACTACCCAGAAATAATCTCCACTAAAACCTTGCTGTATACATGTATGTTTATATACATATGTATACAGCAAGGCGACACACACATATACATACAAGTATATATGTACAAGTACAGGCACTAGTATGTGAATATATCTACATACACATTAATATAGCACTTTTCAATAGAAAAATACATGATAAGCTTTGTCAAAATGATTAATTTTTAGATTGAAAGCATTTCTGTTAAAAAATAGCTAAACCAGGTTTGTGGACTGGACTGGGATCCTAAGTCCTGTCCATACTGGTATTTTAATAACAGAATGCTTGCTCATTTTTAAAGAGCCTTCTAAACACACGTTCAGGATATCACACATTTACAAATAGGTCGACTTATTATTTTTTTTTTTTGTCTTGTGACTGGTAAGGGGATCACAACCCTTGGCTTGGTGTTGCCCGCACCGCGCTCAGCCAGTGAGCGCAC